TTTGATCTTTCAAGCTGTTTAATGCCACTCAGCAGGTGTTGCATTGCTGGTAAGGGGCGTTACATTTCCGACGAGTGCTTGCGGTGTTCGGCCAATCACAATGCACTGGGTCAGCTGGCCAATCAGAGCAGACTGCGCTTGTCGGAAGGAGGGACTTTGTAGAAAACTAAGCGTTTGAGAGAGGCGGGGCATAGAGGACCTGCAATAATGTACAGTATTTGAAAAAGAATGTGTTTTTTGAACATTAAAGCATGTCAACACCTTCTGTTACACCAAATACACAAAATAATGATCTTTTAAAAAGCATCATATGACCTCTTTAACTAAAATTAAGTCGATCTAAAATCATTCGAAATAAAGCTGAAATAAAATACAATTTAAATATTAAATAAAAAACTTACACTTTAAAATGTTGCCTTTTCAACTAATTGAAATAAATAAGTTTAACTAGAAGTAGTGAGATTACTTAAAGCTAAATACAAATATTAAAAAAACTAATAAAAATGACAAAAGTACATACAATTACGAAAACGTTACAACTGAAAATAAAGAAATAGAAGCTAATTCAAAATTTAAAAACACTATATAATATTGTATACATTCATACACCAAAGGAGGTTAAATGTTACTGTAAAAAACAGCCAATCATAAACCGTCTAACACAGGGCTGTCCAAACTCGGTCCTGGAGGGCCGGTGTCCTGCAGAGTTTAGCTTCAATTTGCCTCACACCTGACTGGAAGTTTCTATGCCTAGTAAGAGCTTGATTAGCTGGTTCAGGTGTGTTTAATTAGGGTTGGAGCTAAACTCTGCAGGACACCGGCCCTCCAGGACCAAGTTTGGACAGCCCTGGTCTAACAGGTTACCTCATTAAACATTCATGCACTTTGTACCTCTCAGCATCTGTGATCCAATGATCACTCTAATAATGAAGAGAATGTCAACCAGAATTGATTTATGTAGATTATTTTTCATTCTTCTGCAGAACAAAAAGTATGTTGGGTCCAGACAACAACAGACTTGCATTTTATGTACAAAGAAAAAGAAAAAAAAAACACTGAGACATTTTGCAAAATAACTTCTGTGCAGAAGAAAGAAAGAGTGAACTATTACTACAGCTTTCAAGTCACAATGTCTGTCAAGTGTAAAAGCCCATATACTATAGGGTGTATAAAGAGGATTGTGGTGCCTGCCTTCCATAAACTACAGCAAACCACATCATAAAAGATAGAAAACAGTGATTGAATCTTATAGATCTAACCACATCTCCTCTGATAAGAACTCGATAAGTCAGGGTGGATCATCGTCAAGTTCTCATGAATTACAGTACAAAAACAATCCAGAGTTTTCCCAAACCTCTGATTCCTTTTAACCTGAGGCAAAAATCTGTGGTTAAAGTAATAAAGGCATAAAGCTGTACTGCAGTAGTAAGATCCCTATCACTGCCGCACCTGCTCTGCTCATACACTCTTCGGCATGCTTCACATGTCCACATCATACATAATCAAAACCTCTGTAAGCACGACCAACTTCAGCGTAAGGGGAGGAGTTTGTATCACATGTCGTTAAACACACACTCACACACACACACTATACTTTTCACCAACTTGCTCGCTCATACAGACAGAGTCATCCATCTTTAAGCAGGTTCTCCATAAATAGAGCATCTAGTCAGCCCGTGGGGATTCCATCATGCCCTGCTACATTCTGCTTGAGGTCCATACGCATGGCTGGCATGTCTGTGTATTTGAAAGGCTCAGATTTCCACCGCAGGATGCCTCTGCCACTTGACTAGCCAATAATCACTCGTCATTTCTATTATTCAGTCTTACCCCCAAACCCACAATTGCATTTTTGCAAATGCAATTGTGGGTTTGGGGGTAAGATTGAATAATAGAAAGCCTTTGAATGCTAGAACATTCATGCTATTACTCATGCAGCATAATTCAATATTGCAGAATACTTCCACAGATATGAGTTAAATATGAGCCCCATTCCTCAAATACCACACTATGCATGTCGAAGCTGTTTGATGTTCCCTATGAGCAACAAGGAGAGGTTTACATTTTCATCTAGGCTACTGCATTTACCATCTCTTCATTCACTTCCACTGAAGTGTACCGATTCATGAAACAAATTAAGTCACGTCTTGACCTCAAAGTGACCTAAGGGTCACAGACACATTTTGATGATTCTTCTGTGCTAAATCTCACTCAGAAGGCTATCAGCTGTGCAAGGCGAAAACAGCCACTGAAAAGTATCCAGTGAGCAAGGCAGATAAATATGGAAAGAAAGAAATTCACAGACACCAAAAAGCATTTATAATAGTATTAATAATTAATTACATAAATTAGGGATGAGGGATCATTAGGGATTAAGGATTAGGGATTAATCTGGTTATTATTTTTCATTTTAGGGCAGAAACCCAATAAAAACATATATACATGTTATACTACTTTGTAAATTATAATATTTTTGTAAATAAAAGGCTACAAAATAAAATGAATTCTGATACAAGTGAATTTAGGCATCACAATATTATAATGCACAGTATGAAAAATGGATGTTTATTTTAAGATTTGCTACAGATTACATTCAAGTAAGTGTTGTTAAATTACTGTTTTTAAAAATAAACTTTAAATGTGTTAGATGACTGCTAAATGAGCATGCATTCAGCGAATACAATACTGATGTTGTCACAGTTTGACAGTTGTGTTTGTCTCGTCATACTAGCCCTGTACCTAGTTTTCCTCGTGTGTCTAATTAGTCATCATGTCCAGCTGTTTAGTTCAATTCTCTTGTTAGTTTCCCTCTTATTTAAACCCTGTGTTCTTCCCCAGTGTTTGTCTGGTCTCGTCCACTCTACCCTGTGTTGGATTAAAGACTTTATAAACCTTCATCTTCATGTGTTTGTTGACATCGTAGCGTGACAGATATATTGTGCATACCTAATAAAAATATTGACCAAAACAACAAATGTCAGAAATGCAATTTTAATTTGAGGATGCATAACTTGAAAATCCACAAGCAAGTACACACATCAATGTGCATCAGTACAGACTTCTTTACTTTTAGTTCTAGAGATAAATGTCCAACAACTTTCAGACAACTAAGTAAAAAAAAAGGTGCTTACTGTGCACTGGTGAGGAAAATTCCTGCAAAATTAAAAGATTTTGCTGGTAAAGTCCCAGCAAATTGTCCACACACATCAATGTGCATCAGTACAGACTTCTTTACTTTTAGTTCTAGAGATAAATGTCCAACAACTTTCAGACAACTAAGTAAAAAAAAAGGAGCTTACTGTGCACTGGTGAGGAAAATTCCTGCAAAATTAAAAGATTTTGCTGGTAAAGTCCCAGCAAATTGTCCAAGAGATGCTTAAATCTATAAGAAACTTAAAGCACTCATTTGTCCACAAGGTTTGCAGCTGTGTGTGTGAGGATGATCCTCGGACATGGCAGGATGATTAAAGGATTTTAAAGCAAATTACATGCTCATGAGCACAGAGTACCCATTTTGATGCAACCATTTCAGCATCTTTCAGCCTGGGAGGACGACATCAGAAACAACAGTAATGGATTTAAAGCAATTAATCTAAATCTCACTCATTGTTGTAGATAAACATCCAAGCATCCACATCCACATCCAACATTATATTTGTGCACTTACGTTCATTGATCTATCAATTTCACACTCCAAAGGACACATGAAACAAAAACACCTCTGATGCACGATTACATTTTGCAGAGCAGGAATCAGAATTTAGCAATCCAGCTCAAATCTTAAAAGAAAACAACTACCTATAATATTTAATTTCTCCATCCAGATCCAGATCTGTTGTCCTGCATTAGAGAAGAGGCAGAGCAGAGGAAGAGAGTTTGTTTACTGTCACCACGGTCAGCACTAGGGTATTTCTGCAGCTGCTGAGACTCTTCCAACAGTTATATCATGACTTGGATGTGTTTGCCCTTGTGAACGTGACAGTAAGGCCCTCCCAGCAGTTATTGCTTTGTGATCTCAAAGTGTTGGGTGCCAATACTGCCTGATTATGATTATCTACTTGATTATCTACAGTTCTGCCAATAGAATGAGATTTCAAACAGCTAATAAAAACAACACAGTATTAGTTTGGAACTGTTTTTTGCTTGTAAACTGAGCTTGATCTGTGCATATTTCTCTCCTCGTTCTGACAAGAATACTTTTTCACCGCAGAAAGCAATATTTTGGATAAAGGAAGCAACAGTTTGAAGTTAGAAACACATTAATGATGGATTTGATTCATGCAGCTTTAACTTCACAAGATGTCAATTGATGAACTGGAGTCATGTGGATTACTTGTGGATTATTGTTAAGATTTTTTAGCTTTCTGGACTTTCATTCTGACGGCACCCATTCACTGTAGAGGATCCATTAGTGAGCAAGTGATTTAATGCTTAATTTATCCAAATCTGTTCCGATGAAGAAATAAACTCCTCTTGGATGGCCTGAGGATGAGTACATTTTCAGCAGATTTTTATTTTGGGGTGAAAGATTCCTTTTAAAGAAGCATCCTTTTTCTCTCTTACAAAGACAGCATTGTCACTGAATAATGCACAATTCGTGTTTTCAAAGTGTTATGAATATTTATAAAAGCAAATGATTTTAAAACTAATTGCAGCGTATGAGATTACATTTTATTAGCATATATCGCATGCTGTATTCACTGGCAACCAACCAATCAGCCATCAACCACTACCAAATAATGTTCTTTTTAGCAACATCATATGACCCCTTTACATTTTTGCCTGCTAACAACCTTAATGCATACTGAACACATTTGAAAGCAATTATCTGTCTGTTTTCTTATTCAGACATCACTGCAATGTCTAAACATGACAACTATGACAATCAAATTAAAACTTGGCTTTTTAGCCTCACAGTACTAAACATGCAATCCTCTAATAATAATCAAGTGCTCATTAATTCTTACTCAAAAATAAATATAAATTAATAAATAAATATCATGACAGCATGTCACTATCTGTTCCCCCTCCCCTCCATGTTCTCACTGTCTCCTTCTATCACACACACACAAGCAAAAACATCTCTAGACTGCTGTCCAAGGAGTCCAGATTGCATCTGAGCTCCTGGAGTGCAACAGCATGTCCTTCTGCCAAAACCATGCATATTCTCTAGGTGGGCTGTTTGTTATTGTTGTTGTTTTAATAGACAATCCTCACAATATTTTGCAGAGCCTCAATCTAACAAAAATGCTACTCACATTTTTTTACAATATAGCCTACTGTGTGTGTGCGTATATATATATATATATATATATATACACACACACACACACGTACATTTATTGTTGTATAATTGCCCTGCGTCCCAACAATGCATCATTAAATCTCATTATGATCTTAAAGCTCAAAATTCAATGATGATAAACAGGCTTGATGTCATAACACTGCAAAACACTACCATGCTCCGACATTACTAAAATGAACTCAACATGTAGATGACACAGGTTCCCATTGACAAAGCGGCAGAACCGCCATCTGAAATAATAAAATAACCAGAGCGTCAAAGCGCAACATTACCTTTTTCTTCAGGCATCGTCTCCCGTAATCACGTCTATTCTGTAAATAAGAGAATGAGCCCGCTGTTTGAAAAAATATCCGACAGTATTTCAGTGCAGCACAGCGGTCTGGTACATGATAATACTGAGCTCCTCTCGCGAGCGACGGAGAAATGCGCTTCACACAGCGCGCGTCACAGCGGTACTACAGTACAGGAATGAACGCAGGTCATGACAGCGCGTCAGCACGCACATTCGAGCTATTGCAGCAATACATTATAAATAGAAGCTTCTCGATCAAAAACATGACACCCCTTCCCAAATATCTGAGGGCGTTCACCGTATTTTCTCTGTGTGAGGTACGCAGCTGGACATTCAGCCTAAAACTAAAACAGTTTATGAAACAACCTGATATCAACGTGAGAAACATTTAAATAAAGGTTTCCGCTTCATTTGTCATGTATAAACTAATATCAGGTCTATAGCATGATATTTTTGATATATAGATATTTTAATGTTCATGTAATGAAGCATATATTTTATATTCCATGATTTCGTTTTATACATTTGTCAAATGCTGAAACTCTCACATCTCACATTATCCATAATATACAATTCAATTCTATACAATTAAATATGTAAATTATATTATTATGTACAATTAAATTAAATTTAGATTAATAAGTTCAATTATTAATAAGATTGAATTAAATACGATTAATTAAATGTTATGTTAAATGTTATAACAAACTATATATATATATATATATATATATACATACTGTATATATAGGCGTATATATACAGACACACACTTTTCTGCCACTTTAATGAAGAAAAGGTGTTAAAACTACGAAAACCCAAAAATTAAATAGAAATAACTTTATTTCTAAAGTAAAAATGGATGGAAAAAAGGATATAGCAGTACAATTTTTTTTTTACAATTTAGGATGTCCCAAATACATATGAAAACCAGAATGACCAACTGCATCCCGTGTTCAGCCTTTGCTATCCCATAATGCCACATTCTGTCTATCTGACTCAGCCAACTCTTTATTTTGTGACTTTTATTACTACATACCTTTGCACATGAGATCATGTTTTATATTGACTGTGTTTTCCTTGTCATTTTGAATCCACCTTTCCTTGGAAAAGGACTGGATTGTGATGGATCAGAAGCCTGAAACAACAGTTACAAGCTGAGATTTTATCATCAGTGCTCCATTAGCAAGACTACACTTGAATGCAGTTGCTCTAATGAAAGTTCTGAAATATGAAGAGAGTCATGGCAGGCATTCATGAACCGCAGAACTTTTCACACACCCAGTCCATTTAATTAATGCAATGAGTTCAGAGGGGCTCAAATCTTTTCCAGTTCTGAAGACCCCTCACTCTCACTCTAGCTCCATCTCTGTACACGGTTCACTCTTTGATGTCTAATCGCAGAGCATGAGTCAATGTCATACATCTATCTCACTCTCTCACATGTCCTCTATAAGTCCTGAATAATGATCAGGCTTGTGAGCAGGCAGCTAGCACCTGTCAGGGGCTATTGCAATAATTTCCAGCACTTTCTCACGTCACAAACTTCACTAGAATTGACTGCTAAATGTTTTTCTCCTCTCCATAGAGATTTACTTTAACAAAGTTAAAGATCCATGTTAAATGGAAAACCAAACAAGCAACTAATTATGGTTATTTGTTTTTTTACTGTGCTGTGTTTTACTGTGTCAGCACCATTAAAAATGATTGTTTAGACACTGCTGAAAATCTGTGCTGGCAGTCCATGGAAAAAAATAATGAAAGAGGCATTGTTCTAAAGTGAGAGATGGGAAAACAGAAAAAAGAAGTGATAGAGAGAGTGAGCCAAGCTCGGCCTTCAGAGAAAACACATTACATAATTCCCTTTGTATGATTTGCAAAGATAGATTCACTGTATGTAGTCACATCTTCCTACACAATTTTGCTTTATAGGATATTTTCAGGCTATTTATCATCTGGACATCAGGATCAATAGAGACGGTAGTCAGAGGCGGATGAGTTGGCAAACACCAAAACCGCTTTAGTTGTTTAGGATACCTAACCAAATCTGTAAAGAGAAGTGGAACACACATAAGTGACCTCTTCTAGATATATTAAGTTAAACAGAATCTTTTTAAAAGTATCTTCAGTAATAAAATAAAACAAACATAAAATACATGTTATATGTGTACCTCATTTCTATACAGGAATTAAATGAAGAAAAATGAATAAAACAAAAAAACGATATAATGTAGAATAAAAAAAATTATATATATATATATATATATATAGGCCTAT